GTGATAAATTGAGTTGAAATTTCGCATCAAGTCACGCCTTTGTATATTTTTTTCAAAATTGTGACGTAACGATCTCCTCCTCACTCACTCCTCAACTTTGATAGTAAATTAAAGCAAACGACGGATTAAATTAAATTTCTTTTTTTTTACCCAGGCATCATCCGTATCGTCAAGTACAGTGACATTAGAAACAAAGTCACAGTGACAAAATGTCACCAGTGTACGCGTAGCCTAAAAGTTAATGCTCTAATACAGTTTTACTTGATTGAGCACAATCGTCGAGAAAAGTTGCAACACGGACTTTCCTTCACATATGTAGCATTAATCTATTGAGCAACTGGTAACTTGACATTCAGTATTCATTGAACCATTTTAATAAAATGTAGTCAAATACGTCTATTGACAAATGAGACAGCAGCTGCATTTTGAGAAAGTTTTTTTTCTATTGTCTACGCTTGGCTCGCGGACGCAGCAGGTGCATATACAATAAAATGTGAAGAATGTTTTTCACACACTGATTTTTATTCGTTTTCGAGCAAAACTATCGAGTGATATCGTAAATACAGAACATTATGTGGACTTTTATAAGAGACTATACTCCATTCATTATAACATTAGAAAAAAGAGGGTCATAGAAGCAGCAGCTCAGAACATTTTATTTTTAAGATATTTAAAAAAAATATATATTAGTTTTTTTTTAACTTTGAACATTAGGTAGTGTGAAAGAGCTGGGCAATTTTCCATTTTTTACGATACCTCGGGGATGAGATGGGGCCAGCATTTTATAAATTCATCTTTTACTCCCAAACCAAAATGGATCTAAAACTGAAACTATCTATCTGTTGTTTTGATAAATTCTAATTGTAAGTGTAATTAGTTAGACTATTGATGAAGACATTGGAAAAACTTCCTGAAATGTCAATGGTTGAGGGTAGGCATGGAGGCTTAGAGTGTAATTTTTGTAGGCCACTCGGGCCTGCACTGGAATCGCAATTTAGCAAAACTTAGAACATAAAGATAACAACTAAAACAAAACTATAAGAAAACAACAATAAAACAGTAATTAATCAATCACCGAAAATGCCAAAACAACAAGAAAGGCAGTAGCATTCACAATTTTTACTCAAATGTTTGCCAAGAAGCTGTTGAAACTTGTATATACATATTTATTATTAAGAGGTCCAATAAAAGATTTGAAAATGTTTTAAACTTAAAGTCTTGAAAACAAAACTTGACATCTGAACAAGATGAATGGAGCTTTTCAGAAATTTATTTTCTAAGAGCCTTTTGACTTTAGAAGAAATCTGGCAATAAAACAATTGTTGAATAAGTTCCAAACCTACCTATTTTGAAACATTTTGGATTCTTTGATAATTTTTTGATTATTACACTTATGTAATATCAAATCAAATCAATCTTTATTGCTGATCACGGATTATTAATAGATATTAATAATAAGGAATGAGTAGTTAGTTACACTGTGAACTGCCTAAAAGGCATACAATATTGTATATAATTGTCAACTAATCTAATCAATAGTATGTCATGTCAAAACTTCATTAATTAAGTATTTATACAATTACAAAGTACTGTCAGCTAGATAGTCGTTCACATTATAATAGGCTTTCGCTACTAATAATTTACAAAGTTCTTTTTAAAAAATATTATAACCGTCCAGATTGCGTATACTATTTGGAATTTTATTAAAATTTTTTGGAGTCATACAAAAGATACTTTGTCTTAAGGGTACCGTACCTTTGTTGTCTTGATGACGCAATTTCGTTTTGTTTTCAAATAATTGTTAATACTGTTTGATAAAAATACCAACTTCGAATATATAGATTGATGGCAGGGTTATAATATTTGGTATAATTAAGATCCGTAATCTGTAAATGACATTTGATTCTAACACATTTTTTTCTTAGCTCTAAAGGCAGTTACAAAATCGGTTGAATATCTCCAAAACATAATGCCATATTGAACAGTAGAAAATACGTCTGCGTGATAATCTGTGTATTGATTCGCGATCCTACGAAGTTGGTATAGTGCATAAAAATACTGGAACCACTTTTTACGAACATGTTCAATGTGTGATTTCCATATCATATTATTATCTATATACAAACCTAGAAATGTAGTGCCAAGTGTTTCTGTTATTTGTGTACCAGCATAGATAATGTTTAAATCAAGGAGTTGGTTAGTTCTTTGTCGAAAATTCATAAATTGATTTATTTTCAAATTTTTTTTTTAAGAATTTTATGATCTAACCACTGAAGAATTAAATTTAATGTCATTTTCATTGTCAGTCAAATCACTATTACCTATAAATAGAAGAGTACTATCATCTGCAAATAAAGTCATGTCATGATTTGTAATATTGGGCATATCATTAATATATATAAAAAATAGTACGGGTCCTAACCTAACATGCTGCCTTGTGACACGCCAAAAAGATAGGCATATCTAAAATTTTAAGAATATACAACTTCTGTTTTAGTTCTTTGACAGATTCGTTGATTAGATAAATATGCTTCTATTTGTTGGTGTATATTGCCGAGGTTTTTATATTGTTTTAACTTAAATAATAAGATTCTATGATTAACGTGATCAAAAGCTTTGCTCATATCCATATAGAGCGCCGTCGCACGAACTCTGGCATCCATATTCTTTGTTACTTTCTGTAGAAAATTAAATCTTGCCATATTTTTCTATTTTGTTATAATAATTTTTGCTGTGATTTGAATTATCTTTAATTTGGCGAATAAAATAGTCATTAAAAACAGATATCACTATTTTAGAATCCCGTATTATTTATTTTTAGTTTAGATATTTTAAATATTTTGTCACAGGTTAGGTTTTTTTCTCTTGTTATTTATAACTTGTCAAGTTGCTTGACATTTATTATTAGATGATGTAAATGTAGTTATTTTCTGCTTTTTGTGTTAATTTAATTATGGTTCTAAGTCTCTTTGGGTATTGTGTGGTAAGTATCTTTAGTGTTTGAATTTTTGTTAGTCCTATATTTCCACACCGAAATTCTTTTCTTTTTACAACATATTTTGATTCCTCGTATTTAACCAATTTTGGCGAGATAGAAAATTTTGCCTTATTTTTTGTTTTGGAAAACATGAATTGTAGAGAAGCAGAGAGAGACAGTTCGCCACCGGATACAAAGAGATGCTGTAGAGGGGCAATTGAAGACAAGCTCCGAACACATCCACCAATATATTAGGTAGTATGTAGTATGATATCTATATTAATATACTCGTACATATTGAAAATGAAAAGTTACGATTAGTGATCTGCAATGGGGGGTTCAGCAACTTTCGTAAGGGCCAGTGACCAACATTTTTATTATAAAGTTAAGCCGTTGGTCCCTGCTGCTTCTGCAGTCATTAACACCCAGTCTTTACTGAACCACATTGTTTCTTCTGATTCTCATGGTGTATAGACAGCATATTATTCTGACAACCTATGTCATTGATTATTGTTCTAATGACTTATTTTAATAATTTTATAAATTATTCTAATGAAATGGCAAATTGTAATTGACAAACATGTTAAAATAATCACAATAATATTTTATGTGGTATTGTGAAGAAAGTCGCCTCTCGCTGTTTGTGTGCATATATTTTTTAAACTACAACCAATAGATTTAAAATCATTAGCGGTTCTCATCAATATACAGAGTAATTCAAGAGGAAAGTTAAAATGATAGGACCATGCGGACAAAGCTGCTGGGAGAATGCTAATGATTAAATAAATTACTGTTCCTAGCGTTATTTAAAAGTAAATATTTTTTATGTTCTGCTGTAATAGTTATCATGTCACGTTATTTATAAAATAATTGGCGCAACAAAAAGCGTGGGTAGAATAATTATACTAAAGAATAGTGAATGAATTGATGTTGAGTTTTGACGTCGATTTTTATTTTATCCGTTGGGTTGGATTTTGTATGTCTCGCACACACAATAAAAGAAAGACGTTAATGCAAAAAATAAAAAATAAACTCTTTTAAATGTCAGAAGTAGCAGCTGCGGGCTCATACTATAAGAAATAAATAACAATACTCTAATGGAAAACATGTTAATTGAAACGAGTTTCTGATAAATAGCTGTATCGATTTTAGAAAAAAATAAGTGGTTTATTTTTTTATATTATTATCGGCACTGTAAAAACGGACCCAGAAACTAATTAACTTTAAAGTAACTTAATACATGATAACTTTATTGGATGTGCTATGTATGTGGTTCACATATCACATACTCATACAGTATCAGTACTACCAACGATAATAAACTGGGTGTAACGTTATGAATGGTCAGTATAGGAAAGTCTGAAATTATGAATAATAATTATCTGTTCTTAGGAACCCTGTCATCGATTTTAGAGACTAGAAATACATTCGTACATTTTAAGAAGAACTATCGTAGTTTCGGATTTGAACCCCGACTATTTGAAAATATACATTTACATTATTTCTACTAAAATAACGATTGTATAGGTCTTTAGTAGTTATTAAAACAATTAACTTAATGTTACTAAAAATGATGTCTTAAATTAATAAAAGTACCATTGACGCGTCCACGCTAAAACGTTATTACATCCTCGGTGAGCTTATGATGAGTAATCATTTTTTAAACAAGTTGATAAGAAGTCTCGCCCATTGTAAGTGAGACCAAAACATTGTATTTTACACCTTATGGGTGGAATATATGGAAGAAGATTGAATGGTTAAGAAAAATTCAATGTTTTTCATATCCATATATAAATAAGAGGTCACATTAAGTGTATTTGCTGAAAGTAACAGCGACGAGTGAAATGTCTGTTGTCTGGTTGCATTGGTTACGATAAAAATTACCTACCCCACATCAAAGACGTCGCGTCCCTACCTTATGTTTTTAAATTGCAAATAGTATGTCTGTCTGAAAAGTTTCATTACTTCAACGATCAACTTCTGATATACTCTTCAAGTTTCATATCTTAACTTAGACACTTACCGTGAATAATTCTCCAAATGATATTACTTTGGTGGCATCTTTCAATTCTGGCGGCAGTAAGCTCTTGCATGGTGGTTTACCATATTCGTTGATGATCTCACAGAGTTCCTTCATCTCTGTACATACCCGGGCTTGAGCTTCTGCCCCTCTGTATTCCGTCATCGAACCGGGAATAGGTCTGAAAATAGAAAGGGGCACTCAAAACTTTTTTCCATATCAATATATATACTACACGAAACTCAAGCGAGAAGTTTTTACCCGAATGCAAAATTAAGGGTTAATTTATTACGACATATATTCAGAACCTCTGAATGGATTTAGATAACCGAGGAATTGTTAGATTTATCTTAGTAACCTAAGTGTTCTTTGTAAAAAATCAAATATGGCGGCTGTGTAACGCCATTATATTTAATGTCATTTTTGTTTTAGTTTCAAATAAAACAATATTGATATCAAATTAAAGAGCTTAAACCAAGAATTTCTACGTAAGTAGGAGAGGGAATTTACCATATCGCACTCCGGTAGTGAGCCGTTCGGGGCCGAACTGCAGCACACACATTCCGGTGTGTGAGGTGGCCGGGCCCGGGTAGGGTCACTATTGGAGTCACGACTAAAGAACGGTGAACTGATAACCGGCCTGACTTAGTTGGGCTGCACATCGACGTTAACCGAAGCTTTCGGGGTGAAGAATTCGTGAGGGTTGAGCCCAGGTGAATATCCCTCTAAGAGACGGGTTGGGGTGGGAAATGCATAGTTGGTCATTTCTTGCCTTTGACAGGGGGCAGTCTGGCGGGTTTGCTGGAGATTAAAATTCGTATGTTCCTGAGCCCCTGCCTTTGACTAGCCCCCCTTCTGGGGATAGGTCTGCAGGAGAGAGTCCTACATAACTCGTGGAGCTCGCGCTCCACGCTCGTTAAAGTGAGTATGCGTAACGCATTTCCTCCGTCCAAAAAAACCCTGATAGTCCTGCATATCTATTTTCAAATACATTCGATTATAAAACGGAGACGATTTTGACAAAATATAAAGAATCGCTCTTTCCTTCCATCTTTTTTTTTACATTGTCAATTTATCTTCGATTTGAATAGGTATAATATTATTAATATAATATATTATAATAGAGATTATTACGTGAACCTTTGACTACACGGACAAATCAGCGAATAACAGCTAGTATTAATAATAAAACAACACGAATTGATGATCAAATGGTAAACATATCGTTTTATGACGCGCCGTCATAAAATTCTCTAAAATTTCATATTATGAGACCGTGAACATTCCACAACACTGTTACGTGTAGTAGTAGATGCCATAAATAAAGTTGCGTTATTTAACGAGTTACGTTGTTTTTATGATTCATAATGTTTTAAAAATCTTTTCGTTGAACAAGAGATATTTTGTATTTGTTACAGCTCGTTATCGTTCAGACTGCAAATATTAAATCATAGCAAGCCATTGCCTTTTAGTTAGGTAAAATTTGAGGCAAAATGTCAATAAGGTATAATAGATAAGGTAATATACAAATAACTTTATTAAATATTGTGTAGCATTAATACAAAATGCTTGAAAAATCCACTTGGTCCCTGGCACCCTGAGATGGGAATCGAACCCACGACCTTTCGCAATCCGGGCGACTGCTCTAACCACTGAGCTACCCAGGACCTAACAGGACTGACGAATCTTTCAAGCACTTGTTACTTTTCGCTACTACAGAGCGTATTCTCATCAATGTTCAGGCATCCACCCAAACAGCCGAAAGAAATATTATTACAAATATTGAAAAGATGAGAAGTTTGTTCTAATTATTATCTCAGGGTACCAGGGACCAGAGGTGGATTTTATAAGCATTTTGTATTAAGAATATGTTTCAGTAAAGCATTGTGAATGCGAAATTAATAAAATATAATGATTGTGTAGCATTATAATATTCTGTAAGAGTACATACTGTTTTATATAATTTCGGAGCCAATTTAGCAGCCTTTAAATCTAAAAGTAATTAAAAATACTTGATCTTGATTATATTATTTTACTAATGGCTGCGGAATGTCAAGAGTAATCAATTATAAGTTCAAACGCCCACTTAAATGAATGACATTCTGGGTAGGCCTGGGTCAGTTCATTAATAACTTATTTATCACAATTTCTATAAAGAACTATGGGTACTTGTATTGCATATCCATCTCAAGCTTGGCGTTCTTTTGAGAGACGTAGTGTGCATCGAGCGTGGCCCAAGAATTCTTTATTTGTTCCCGTTTAGGGTTTATTTTTAAATTTCTATATTTACACAATTAAAATAGATTATTTATAATAGCGACGACTAAAGGACAGCGTAGTCGTATTCACTAATCATAACATAACAAATTATTATGGCAAATAATGTGGTAATTAAGCCTTTTCATTTGATAACCTACACGGAAAGATTGAAAACCATATATTTTAGTTTCTTAATTTTTATTATCTCGAGGGCGCTGTTGCCATAGCCTATAACACACGGACAACTAAGACGTTTCTAATGATACCTTCTTTGACCAGTTACGATGAGTTGTTTCGAAGTTATAAGCTTCGCCGTAGTCGGGCAAAAAGTATGTTATTAGCATTTGCTAGCGTTTCCTTTTGTCCACAAAGGAAATACCAAAGTAGTTACGATAGCAAAAGAAACCCCTTATGATGTTATCCTAGAGCCGGCCGCTGCGACATACATTTTTGTTTCCGATGCTGCGTTCAACGCTGTATTGTTACACAATAGCAAATCTGTACTTACTTTCCATATTCATCTTTTGAGAATGTGGGTTTGCGATTTTTGTCAAAGCTCCCGCTGAATGCTGTGACTTTTTGCAGTTCGCTGTGATTTTGTGCCTTTGTATCGAATGCCGATATGAGATCTGTTAGTGACGAACTCTGTAACAAAAACATATATTTTTAAATGCAACAAAAAGTACACCACCTTTTGATTATTAATAGATTCATGTCGATGGTGGTATAAATTTTACAATATTATTTGAAGCTGATTAACATTTTTTAATGATTATTAAGGTAAAGTAACGCTCAGGCCGCACGACATGCAACGGATTATATTAAAAATTCATATGACGTCATCAGTGTAGGGGGTCGTCCATTAATCACGTGATGTTTTTTCAACATCTTTTACCCTCCCTCCTCCTTGGTGATACATGATGATGATTAAGACTAACCCCACCCCCCACTCACCCCAATCTCATGTATTTTTAGTACCTCCAATAAATCTTAATTTTCGAAGCCGCTTTTCAATATAGTAATCGCGCGTTTGAAAAAAAAAAGTGATATTTTACTACTCCCCCTTGTGATATTTCGTGATTTATGACAAACCCCTTCCCCCTTTCCGAGCTTCACGTGAATAATGAACGGCTCTTAATTCCAACGTCAAAACTAACAGTCGCATTTTTCATAGAAGCATCTATGAAAAATGCGACCGCAGTGGACGTATGACATCGACAAATCCATGCAATGCGTTGCGTGTCGTGCGTTCGATGCGTGCGTGTTGAGACAGTAAACTAGCACCTTTATGCTTTTTACTGTTCGCCCGCATAAATGCAACTATCAATACTAATATAATAAAGAGATAAAGTCTGAAACTAATTAATAATAGTCTTTAAATCTATTTTTATTAATTATTCATAGGTCATCCATCATAGATCTTTTATATTTAACTGAAACCAACCGCCAATTGTACGTCTTATTATATATTATAAGACGTACAATTATTATTTACGTAGTATTTTTTATGTGGGTAATTTTCGGAAATACTGATTCCGTTTATGAAAATTATTTCACCTACGGAAGTTACAACCATACGCTCACTGGGTCGTTCGTCCTTACGCATTTAGCCATGCATTCGAAATTTGCTTGTCCTGTCTCGTATTCTTATATCAGCGTTGTGACATGATACGTATAGTGGATAGGTCATGGGTGCTGACCTGACTAATAGCAGAGGAAAGTAACCAAATAAGGAATAATGTCCCTAATATGGAATATTGGAAGTTCCTTAATTATTTAAAAAGGTTATAGCAAAAAAAAAATGGAAATAAGCCAATCAAATACGCAAGTAGATCGTGCGTTTGCTGGACTTAGTGTAAATTGACAGAGTTTTTTCTTATTACAAGTAATTTAAGAACGAATTAAAGTATTCCATATTAAGGAATCCTATAGTAGTAACTATGGTTGTCGAACTTTTTATCTGACTGTCTATTGTCGAACTACCATATGCAAAATGAGTCACATGAAACTACTGGCATTCATTCAAAATATGATTTTATTTATCTCAAAATTAAAATATGTATTATAAATTATGCGAAGACAACAGACTTTGTCCATACCTATCTACTAATACGTTATTTATAACTTAATATTTTTTTATAAATTATATTCAATAACTTTTATCAAAGGTACGTTACCTTAGATATGGCTAGCAATATTTTTAATTAGAATAGAATAGAAATCGTTTATTAAACACACGCACACGCATGCAATTTGGCAATAGACATAAATAAATTATTATTGAGTTATAGAGTGCATCCGATGTGGTGTCCAAAAGGTACTCGATGTGCTGTAGTTAAGTTCTCTTTTTAGTTGGCGCCCTTAGGTGGTGTGGTGACACCCCGTTTGGGTCAAAACAAAATAATTACTTAATTTATTATAATAAGAATTGTTACCTTCTTATGACGTTTTATATGATCCAATTTATTATGTTGTATTATTTATTGGTTTTGTATATCAGCCTCATCGGATAAGTGTTTTTTTTTGTTACATTTTTAGTTTTGTAATTTTTTCTGTCTTTTTGTCTTTGCAGTAGACATCATAAAGTTATATGACTAATTTTCACGAATGAACTTTCGATAACAGATTTACTCCAACTACTATATTATCACAAGTTACAAACAGGAGAATTCCATAAAAATAATAATACTGTTCCTTTTTAAAATTACTCGAATTTATATTGTGTAAATAATGAATAATTTTATCTCAAGCTAATGGTACATTTCAATTTATATTTTAAATGGAATTAGATTAGAACGGTCGAGTCTTTGCAATGCATGTTCACAGACTGCAGGCTAATGTTCATTAATAACAGCTCTGCTTTCTGCTTTTTGTATATGAAAGAGCTCACAGTAGCATTCTAGTTTGTAGACACCTGCAATTTGAAATTCAATTTAGTATAACAGTATGATTTGTATTTTCATTAAATCCAATGACTAAAGGAACTAGGCAGCTACTAATAATGAAACCCCACTTGTTTGGATTGATGTGTCACATATTTATTACGATATGGAAATATGAATTTTATAGGTTTTTATATATGATTTATCATCATTAATGCCCACGCTGCTGGAACACAGGCCTTTGGATGGAATTGAATCGAATAGGGAGAATGAGCCATTACCACGCAGGAAAAAAGAGGTTGGAGATACAAAAAGTTTTGGTTACCCATTCTATGACTTGGTTGCTTAATCGAAGCATAATTACCAAAGCACCACCGAGCTTTTGAATTCGGTGTTTTTATAATTTCGTACCCAAAAGCTAAAACGGGACCCTATTACTAAAACTCCGTTGTCTGTCTGTCACCAAGACGTATCCCATGAACCGTCAGACAGTTGCTATATTAACAGTTCCCGCATTAGCGACAAATATTGAAAAACAGAATAACATAAATATTTAAGGGGACTCCCATAAAACATATGTGATTTTTTTCTCATTCCCAATACGGAATCCTTCTTGTGCGGGTCAGACTCTTACTTTTTTTATTTATGTTATAATAGAACGATGCTTAAGTGCACTTTTAATTCAATCACAAGCTCCACTAGCGTGTGCATGTGTAAATTATAAAGCACTCAACCTTAAAGTTTACACCGACGTTTATAATATTATTGTGGCGGTGAGTCGCAGTCGCACTCTCAACTTGACCTATTTCGTTCGCGCAAAAGCTCTTAGACTGTTTCTTTATAGGACAACATCATAAGATTAGTTTAAGATTTCTGGGAAGGATTTAATGGCCAATTCTAGCAAATTGTCTTTATTCTATTATTACTCTTACATCTTAATAGATGATGATAATAATAAAATCATAAATACGTATTGAATACTTAAAAAAAAATGTTGATAATGAAATAGACATTGCGAATTGCGATTTGAAATTAGACAATTGGTTCACCGGTGATCGTCAATCATCTGGGCTGCCTCATTGCGAGGGCAACCTTCGTAATCATAGACCAAAAGCGTTAATCACTGTCCCGTGAAGCTTCTATATTTTTTAGTGGTAATCTACAAATAACAACCTTACCCCTACCCGAAATCTCTCAGCTGTCCACTCATTTGTAACAATGATAGAATAGATCTTATTTTCTTGTTATAATCTACAGAAAAATAACAACAATATTCCTAAAAATCCAAGATCTCTGCGAGTCGTCCACTCATTTGTAACAATGATTGAATAGACATTTTTATGGGACAATTCATCGGTGTGCGAAATACGAAATGTTACTACGCGAAGCAGATTTAATGTTATGAATGGAACACAATTTTTCGACGAAAACAAAGCCAACGGTGTGTGTTAATGTTTCTGTATATTTATTGGAACAGCACGGCGGTGCCGACGATGTAAATTAGTGAAGTTGGCAATGTTTGTAAGAGACACTCTAGAAATAGTAACAGACTTAGAACGGAGCGATAATAGTGCGATTGTCAGGTTGGTGTTAAAAATACACTGTTTTGTTCAGTGAACCAACTATTGTATTTAAAAACAGTCAGTGTGTGTACCTATTACTTTGGCACTATCGCTAGAGTGGAAAGCGACAAGCCATGTGGCGAAGAAATCATTAGCTATAAAATAAGGTTTTTGCTGCGGTCAATTTATATTTCATTATCATCATTAGCCCTTTTACGTCCCCACTGCAGGGGCTCAGGCCTTCCTTATGGATGATAAAGGAGGATGGGCCATGACCCTCCACGCTGGCCCAATGCGGATTGGAGGATATTAACGACTGCAAATGCAGCCGAGATCAACGGCTTAACGTGCCTTCCGAAGCACGGAGTATCTCGAGATAATAATTTTTTGGTCACCCATCCCGTGACCGACCCTTGCGAAAGTTGCTTAACGACTACGATCACGGGCCGCGGCGCTAATCCACTACGTCACCGAGCTACTCTTATAATTTATATTTAGTTATTAATTTTAAACGTGTATTTCTATACAGGAAACTGTCATGCTTAGGCTAGCTCTAATCTAAATAAATATCGTAAATTTTTAATTTCCTTACTTTGAAATCATTAAATTAAGAAAGCAAGTAAAAATTCTATATAAAAGATAAATGTGTTATATTTTCTTGAATTCTGTTTTTTTTCAGTTTTAATGTTAAATAAGACTAAATCCCGCTATTTTTTGTGTTAAACCTATAGTAGTCAAATACAGTTTTTTTTAATAAATAGGTTAATCATAGATACAAACGAAATCCTTTTCATGATAAAAATCGTCATAACCTGGACCTTCTAGTACGAGTTTGTCTTTAAAACCTATTGATTAGTTTATCTACTATTTGATTACTATAGAGTTTACGATATACGATATCATAAACTGTATATAAACGATTTATAATTTACTTTAAAATTGATGAAGCATCGATTCACTCGATAGAACGAACTTCACAGTTTTATTGTGGTCTCTTTTACACGTTTATGATAATTCCACAATAAAAGCTTAATTCATCTCCTCTATACAATAGGCCAATAGGTAATTCAATATATCTGTTACGCTCAAAGATTAAAATATAGTTTACAACGCGTTGTGGTCACATTAAAACAGCGACAATGCGTTAAAGGTTGAATAGCATATTAGCCAGAAAACGGATTTCGCTATGTGATTATTTTGC